AATCCTCTAATAACAATAGTGTCAATCTCTGCCCAATCTCAGCAACACCTACTTGTGGTTGCATTGCAGCTGGATAAAACCCAATCAACTTACTTTCTGCAAAATAGTGCTTCAAAGATTAAGGATGAGTGAAAATTACAGTAGCCTCTATATTTACTGAAACATAGTTTACAGAACCAGGCTTAGAACATCTTTCAACACTTCTGCCTGCATGCCATTGGCCTTGACTCCTCATGTGATTTTGGTGTGTCTTTAGACTAAGAAATTAAGAGGAGCATGAATGTCTATTGAGGGGTACTTTTCTTCCCTCAGGTCCCATAGACAGAACATAGCTATAGTAGCTATGATTTTTCTCATTGCTGAGACAAAAGCACCTGATAACAACAACTAAAGAAAGACAGGTTTATTTTGGATCACAGTGTGAGGGTTTAGTCCATCAGAGTAGAAGGAATTTAAGGCAATTGACCACACTGTATCTGCAATCAGCAAGTAGAGAGATGAACACCAATGCTCTGTTCAGTGTTTTCCTTTTATTCAGTCCAGAACCCCAACCCATGGAGTGGTATTGCCCATACTTAGGGAGGGTCTTCACATCCATCTCAGTTAACCTAATCTAGCATTCTCTCATACACAGAAGTTTGTCTCCTGGGTATTTCTAGACCCTGTTGAGCTGACATTTAATATCAAGCATTGCCACAATTAACCCATCTCTAAGAAAGATGCTTCAGTTCCTATGATGACACTCCATCCATCATCTAAAGCATTCGTGGTCCCTTGGTGATGGCCGATCCTCTCTGTCAGATGAGGATTTGGATCCTCCTTATCCAGTGCCCTGTGTACTGGAACGACAAGTCATCTCTATACAACATGTCAGGCTTTAGAAGGAAAACATAGTGTATCCAGCTCCGTCATTGACAGGGCTCTGCAGCATCCCCGCTGCCCTTCAAGGCTTGTCTCTTATCCTCTGAGAATGCTCTTCTATCTTGGCTTCTGGTTGCCCTGGTGAGATCCTTCATTTTCTTTCCTTTGCCTTGACGACTGATGAATGAAGCACTGAAGGTGGATCTCAAAATTTGTACTTGAGCCCCCAAAGAATCAGCCCACACTATCCTTGTCAAGCTCCATTGCTTCCATTGTTTTTAGAGAAATTCTAAATTCATATATTTTCATTCAGGCAAGGGTCGGCTTCTCTGTCAACACTCCCTGTTGGAATCTTTGTTGTTGGCATTTTTATATCTGTGTTTTATTTATAAATGTCTAAGTGATGCTGATACTAATGTGAGAGTCATTCATGTTCTACACATCTTGATTTGTGGAGGCCCAAGGAGATGAGGCACAGTATCATCTTTGAGTCTCATTACCCTAAGGTCACCATGACAGGAGTGGAAACTTCAATTATGGGATGTTTGTAGGGACCAGGTCTGAAAGTGGCTTACACCATTTGGTCCTTCACCCTGTTGGTTAGCTTTCCTTACAAGGCCCTCAGATATCTGTAGCCTTGGGGACTGTGCTCATTTTGAATTGGCAGTAGCTTTTAGTGGGTTTGGGCTCACTCATGGTTTCATTGATAATTTAGTGTGATTTTTTTCAATACCTTTGGAGGTTTCTCTTCTTGGTACTCAGCCAGTTCCTAAATGTATGTCTTATTTCTCACTTTTCTTCATTTTTATTTAAATTAAAAGCAATCTTATTTTATATTCCAATCCCAGGTTCCTCTCCCTCCAGGTGTCCCACCATCTCCCCATCCCCACCTATCCACTCCTCTGAGAGGGTGTCATTTCTTACTTCTTAGTGAGACATTAGCCTTGCATAATAAAGCTATATTTTATACCTGAATTTTATTCTGTCACTTCATCCAATGAAGAAGATTTTCCACAAGGGGAATGGAGAGACAGACAGACAGACAGACAGACAGACAGACAGACAGACAGACACACACACACACAGAGAGAGAGAGAGAGAGAGAGAGAGAGAGAGAGAGAGAGATTTGTACCCACACAGAGATTGCATTTTCTGAAGTATAAATCTTGAATTTGTGGGCTTCATTCTCTTGCCTGTAACTCAAGGGCAGCTAGTTCTTTCCTAAACTGTTTTCCTTACAGCAATATCTTGATAAATGCACACAGAAGCAATTAGCACTATCAACACAGGTTTTGCAAAATTTCCCTTTGGAGCTAAGATTTCTGTGGACAGACTGGCAGTTTTGGTGCTTTATAACAGAGGCCTCCATCTTTTCAACCCGAGGCATCAGCTTCTTCCACCTTCTGTCAGCAGTCTTCTGAATGCTACTTGCCACAGATTTTTATTTAATTTATTTTGCATTGGAGAGGGTAAGTGTTTTGGTATGTATTCCATTGCTGATATTGAACTCACTGTGGAGCCCAACTAGCTATGAACTACAGCAATCCTCTTGCATTGGCCTCCTAAAAGCTGGGTTATAGTTATGCATCATCATGATCCACTGTTTTGGGTTCTTAATGGTGGCATGTGATCATGGCAGCTGTCCATCTGTTAACCATGGCCTCAACACAACAAATACTCATTTTCTCTCATGTCATGGTTAGAAATAGAGTACATAGCTCTCCTAAGCAGTGACAAATAATTTAGACATATGGACTTTTTCACTGGAAATTGACCCCATAGTATACCTTTCTCTCAGGGCTCCAAGGCTGGAAGTGTAGGCATTTTGCAGGCACTAAAGTAGCTTACATCATTTCAATCCAAGTTAGTTGGCATTTAGATGCATGGCCACCAATTAAATACAATTTGTGCTAGAGAATGAGGAAGGGTCCATGGATTTAGGATGGACCTTCACAGCCTGTGCCACTTTAGTACAAGAGGGGAGAAATTTCAGACAAACGACACCCTTCATGTCCAAACCAGAGATGACAGAAATCCTGTAATATAGAAAGGAAAAATATGAGGGACCCTCAAATGTGTCCTACCTATAATCCCCAGACCCATAGGAGAACTCCTTAGAAAGCAAAAGGGATGTCTTCCCCACTCACAACTCCCTAATTAGTATCTTTGGTGGTGGCACTTGGACATCTGTGATGTTTGTTATGTTTTTGAGTGTCTTTGTGATGTTGGTGCCAGTATAAGGGCTATGGAGCTACTGTACACTCTCACTTACAAAAACCAGTCAGGTTAGGAACAACCCAAGACTACTGGGCACATTAGTGGTTATGGTCTAGTTAATCTTTGAATTCCATTGACCTCGATGCCCAGCTTTGGCTCATCTTATTTCTGGTCATAGTCTGGGGTTTCTCTCTAATTATTCATGCCTAAAGGAGACAAGGGACTGTCGGCATAGAAGAGAAACAAGATTTTTTTTTAATCCTTAAAATGAAGAGGTAGGCTAATGGTATATCTCACTAGATGGGTAGAGTGCTTGCCTGGCATGCATGAAGCCTTGGGTTTGATCCCTAGCACTGCAGAAACTGTCTGTAGGGGCACAAAGCTGTAATCCCACACTCTGGAGGAGTGGTTGAAGGATCAGAATTTAAGCTCATTCTTTGCTACATATTGAGTTTTAGGCCAATCTAGGCTACATGACACTTAGTTGTAAAAATCAAACAAACAAACAAAAACAAAAAAACAGAAAGGAAAAAAAACAAAGATGAAGTGAAATATTCACTTTGTCCACATCTGTGGCACTGACCATGCCCATTGGGGTGGAGACACGGGCAGAAGTGACCTGGTGAACTAGGTCTGAGGAGGAGCCTGGGCGCGCTCTCTTGCTGGAGGCATGCAAGACAGGAGAGCATCTGGTGGAACCTGCTGGTGTTCATGTGTCTATGTTGTAAGTTATTTCTCCCTGAATAAACATCTATTCGGCCTATTTGTTTATTCTGATCCTTATTGAACCACAATACAAGGAAAAAAAAACAATCAAGTAAGAAAGAAACAAGAGAAGCGAAAGAAGAAGGAAAAAATAAGAGGAGGAGTCACTAGGATTGTCGTAGGTCATGTTAGCTGATTCTTATGGCCCTGACACAGGGAGACCCTCCCCTCGTAACTGTGTATTCACTGTGATATGTTTGACATTAACCTGAACCACAGGGCCTGTTGAATGTCATTGTGGTGTGGCATGTATTCTTTTCTTTCCAACAACACTTTCATGCCTATGAAATGACATGAAGATAATTTGGGTGAGGCTAGTCTGCCTCCTGGTGGCTGTTTTAGGATTTGAAGCATTGCTTGTTGCTGTGTTGAGATGAGGAAGTTGCAGGAGAGAGAGAACACTCTGTTACACTCTGTTAGACCTGGCTGGAGCCTGTGAGCATGACCACCAGTGAATTGGCTGCTTGACATGAAGGTGTCGGTCTCTCCTGACACCTTCTGTTTCTACCCAGGGCTTCAGAGGAGGCTCAGCTGGAAGGTGCAGGGGTCTGTCAGAATCTTATCTGAGGTACCCCATCTTTGCTTCCCCTGATAACTTCTGACTGGCCGAGACAGAACTGATTGAAGACCTATGGTTCCCAGATGTGGAAGGGAATTTGCTAGGTCATATTGGTCTGGTATATCCATTCTCAAAGCTGGAATGTCTGTAATATTCTTCATTGGAGGGACTAGGGGGACAGTGAGGAGACCAAGCAAATAGGAGTCTGGTGCAATCAGTTGTGTGAAAAGCCACAGCTTTGGAAAGTAAAAGGGTATCTGGTAAAGTGATTAGGCTTATGTCAGCTGTCAGAGGCTGATGTCAGGTGGTTTTGTCTGATCACAGCCTGTCTAGCTTTCCCAACTAAGCTCAGCCTAAAACAAAAGACCCAGGGTTACCCTCCCTCTGCATCCATGCCTTGCTTATCTACAGCCCCCTTCCTCTGCATCCATGCCCTGCTCATCTACAGCCCCCTCCCTCTTCACCCATGCCATGCTCCTTGCCACCCTGTTCATTCCTCCAACTTTGTTTTGTCCCTTAAAAATAGCAGTAAAGATACGATTTTATGTAAAAAAATACATTTATATGAAAATTCAATAGTCATATAAAAATTCCACAGTATCATTACATCATAATTTTATCCTAAAATGTTTTGAAATAAAATCTGTGTGCTGATTCTTGCAAAGCCCCTTCACAATACTGGAGCAAAGTAAATGGGCAAAAGCATTCTGCAGTTAAAACAACATTGAAGTGATGGGAGGCATCCATCACTTTACATTCAAATCACACCAAAGTGCATAGCAAATTAAATAAAAATATTAATGACTTAGAGATAATTCCTTAAGTGTGATTGCTTCACATTCCCTCAGACAGCTTCTAGCCCTCAAATATATAATCAGTCCATTTCAGCACAGTTCTCAGAAAAGACAAGGGTGCAGATTTTTGTTTGTTTGTTTGTTTCTTGTCTCCTGGGTTGGTTCCTGTTCAGGCATGAGTCTTCAAGGCTTTGGAGTTTGGGTTTTCCTGTCCAAGTACATCATGGCATCCTGGACCCACTGCTGATGGGCTTCAGCACAGACTTCTATACCCCTCTTGGTCTTGAAGCTGTGGGGAGAGAGCTCTGTTAGAGAGTATATGACTTAGTCTGTGAGTACCTGCCTGGTGCATTGCCCTAAATTGCTGACATTACCCCAGGGATGGAGGAGAGAGAAGGTAAGACAGAGGGAGGGCCTAACAGAAAGATGCCTTCTTCACTGGCCAAAGGTAAGTACCTCCCAACTGCCCTGGCTTCTGGATGGAGAGGGAAGTCCTGAATTGTAGCTCTGGAGAGTGTTAAGTGTCCATGTTCCCACTTGAAGGTTATCTGAGTTTACATTAGAGTCTCCATGCATTGAGTGTGTGGCCCTATCCATTGCCTCTTGGAATGGCTTAGCACTGAGGGACGAATGCAGGTCGTGTGTACTCACATCACAGCTTCCCAGGGACAGTGACTGCTGGTGATCTTTTTGTAGCTCTCAAGATTCTTCGTGGGTATCTTTTGTTTCTTGACATAGCAGCATGTGGGTGAATTGATCCCATCTATAATGAAAGAACAAGAAAGGTTTTTTTTTAATGGTGGATTCTGGGTCTTACATTTATTATTCATGTGGTGGTAGGAAGCAATCAAGGAGGTAAGAAAAAACAAAAGAGGTTGCCCGACCCTTGTGTATCATGTCTTTCCTCTTTAGGATGTCCCTCAATTCTTTCTCATTTATATGGATTAAATGCCAGTCAATAGGGTCAAGAAGAGCTGATGACAATTCTGGGTGACACTAAAAAGCATTAGTATAATGACCAGTTTCTTTGAGTAAGAAGACTATAGTTATGACTACCCCTTTCAGATCAGAAAACTTTGTCTAGTTGTGAGCATCTTGTAGACACAGACTCTCCAAATCTCTGTCACTGGAAGAGTGGCTGGCTGAAGCACACATTAGATCCTGGGACTCTTCCCTTCTACCTTCTACCTGAAAACACACCCTACCCCAAACCCCTCTTTGATGAGAAGTAGTTGGTGCAGGAACTAACTTGTTTGCACAATTGAGTCCTGGAGGGATCAGATTCAACTCCTGTTTCTGGCCCTGGGATGGCCTCATGTTCTTTCTATTGCCTTCCTTTGGCAAAGCTGTTAAGATGAGACTATAGGTAACCCTCATTCTGCAATGATCCATGAAAAGCCAAAGAGGAGCAGCATGCTCCAGGGGAAAAGGATTCAAGGCCATTCTTACCTGGCTGGGCCTGTATGTGGATGCTGAAGGCAGCAGCTGTGAGCAGCAGGCACAGAAGCATGGCAGAAACCTTCATGGTAGAGAAAGGGTGAGCTGGCTTCAGTGAGAACTGAAAGATTCTGAGCTGGCCTAGCCTCTGCCCTTCTGGCAGCTCTACCTTCTCTCTTATAGTCAGCGAATAGGGAGGGATCTTCGTTTAGAATGAATCACAGTGGGGTGTGATTTGAGGCTGTCATATTTCCATTTTACACCAGGGATGGGAAGTGAGGTAGTAGCTCCGTCTAGATAGAATGCTGCATTGTGAATTCTGGATATTCTTATCAGCTCAGATCCTAAGAAAGTAAATACTTTCTGTAGAATGAGGAAGGAAACAGAGATGACAAAGTCAAAAGTCAAGGGATTCTCATTTCTTCCTTTAAGTAACATTCTTAAGATTCCCAAGTGCAGAAACAAGCACTAAAAATTTGGCAAGATTTAAAAATGCACTTAAAGAATGACAATTCAAGTAGCTTTTCAAATCTTGGAAGGCAGAGTAATAAAATAATAAAATGTTAGCCTTAGAGTGAGTGAGGGGGGGGGAAGAAGAGGAGGAGAAAACAAAGAATTTTCCAAATGCTTATGTCTAATATAATTTTCTGTTATATTTGGATTTCTGATAGGAAGGTTGGCAGGTCTCAGCTAGGCAGTGCTTGGTTAGGATCTTTCACATTGTTATGGGTAGATAATGGTTGAGGTTGAGGGTCATCCCAAAACCTTCTCTCCAAGTCTGGTATCTGAAGGAACTTAAATAGCTGTCTGTATGTTGGACCAGATGTTGTTCTTTGGTTGCTTCCTCTCCCTCGTATTCTGCATCCCACTGTGAAGACTGTATATTTTACATGACTCCTGAAAGTCATAACGACTTATGAAAGCATAAATGACACCTCTTAGAAATAGAGTGTGAAAGAGCCTACAGACATGTTTCAAAACCCACTCTATAGAACCAAGTCTATAAGTCAGAAGCAGAGAGAGCATTTAGAAAGGCTAAGAACACAAGTACCATCCCCAAAAAATACTACCCAGGGGCATTATAGAATGAAATAGCACATGGGACCCTTGGAATCTTGTGGTTTTCAAAACATCTGATTATCTATGAAAATACCTTCTAAGTAAAAGAACATAAGGAAGTCAAACTGGGTGTAGTGGCATATATTGTTAAACTCAGCCCTCAGCGTGTGAGAGGCTGAGGCAGGAGGATTATGAGTTTGGGACCAATCTACATTATAGATTGATACATCATATCAAAAAGTCTAGAGTCTGGGGATGGAGAACATGCTAGGTATGAGTGCTTACCCTGGCATCATAGCAAAGACACAAACCTAAACAGTAATCAAACAGCAATGTGAGAATCCAACCTTTGACTTGAGAGAACAGATTCACAGATCATATCACTGACAGACAACCATTTGGGAATTATCTAGCTAATATAAAGAATTCCTCAATTCAGCATCTAACAAAAACAAAGAAAAAACAAACAAAAAAACTGAATTTAAAAGGGGAGAAGATCTTGCTGGGTGTTGGTGGCGCATACTTTTAATCCCAGCACTTGGGAAGCAGAGGCAGGTGGATCGCTGTAAGTTTGAAGCCAGCCTGGTCTGCAGAGAGAGTTCCAGGTCAGGCTCCAAAGCAAAACAGAGAAACTCTGTCGTGAAAATCCAAAACAAACCAATCAAACACAAACAAAAGTAAAGACAAGGGGAAAAGAGTATCAATGGATGTTTCTTAGGGATGATAGATAACAAGCATAGAAAAGGGCATTCCACATTGCTAGTCAATGGAAGCTTGTGTGAGACCCTGAGTTCAGTGTTAAGTCCCTATACATAAACAAATAAGAATGAAAAGGAAAATCCAAATGAAAATCTTCATGAGCTATCACTTCACTCCATTATAGTACATCAAAATTAGGATTGGTGTTAGAAGCTTGGTGGTAGAATATTAGTCAAGCATCTACAAGAGTCTAGGTTCCAATTTCAGTACTATAACAACAACAACAAAACAGTGGGCAAAGAAGGAAATGGGGATTGTTTAGTGAGTATATAGTTTGGGTTTTACAAGGTGAAAGTGGTCTAGAGGTCTGCTGTTCAATGATGTTAACTATGTCAACATTAATTCCATAAACTACACTTAAAGGTGGAAAATATGGTGAGTTTTGTGGTTTGTCTTTTTGCCACTGTTTTAAAAGTTAAATGGGAGAATGAGGTCTTTAAAAAGTGAATTTTATAGTTTCCAGTACAAACTGATGATTGTTCTTTAAGCAATGACTCATTGATCTGTTACCGACTCACTTGTATGCCCTGGGGACTAGGAATAAGAAATATTAGATGCTTACTGGGAAAGCAAAACTGGAAGGAACCCAAGCAGTGAAGCTGGAGAGAGGGCTCAGTTGGTAAAGAACATGCCTTGTAAGCTCGAGAACTTGCATTTGAGTGGCAGAACCCACCTAAAAGTTGAACAAAGTGGCATACACTTGAAATCCCAGTTTGGGGTGAAGGTTAGAGATAGGAAGACCTCAAGGGCCCCCTAACCAGCCAGCATGACCCAACGAGTAAGTTCTGGGTTCAGGGAGAGACCCTGTTTCAAAAAATAATGTGAACAATGCTTGAAGAACAATGACTAAAACTTTAGCCTCCACACAGATGTGCTCATGAAACCCAGCAAGAGAGACCACGCCCAGCAGCTCTTGTACTTCTAGATACGTACCAGGAAAGATGCTCCTGGGACAAGGACTTTGATCTTGTACTCAGGACCGGCATTTTTGATCATGGCTTCAAGACCTACCATCTATGGGCTTCTGGCTTATCCCTTTGCTCCCACTAGCCACACTGAGGGTGAAGCCACACATGCCTTTTAGTAGCCATCACTGCTGTTTGCTGGCTCGAAGTAGGCTGAGGCTGATTTACAGCTGATAAAGACCCTGTGCTTCCGATTATCTTGGCCACAGGATTCCTTCAGGGAAAAAAAAAAAAAAAAAAAAAAAAAAACCAGCCTTGCTATCCTGAGCACCAGTACATACATGCCATGCCTTTCCCTCTCCCCACCCCTTCCTGGCAGGTTTCCTTGTGGCAGGTTTCCTTGCTTCACACTCACCTGATCTCTTTTAAGTCAAAGCTTCCAGGCTTGAATAGAATTCTCCATTTCTAACCAACTCCTTTTCTTAAACCACTTCATTCAAAGCCTTTATTATTTAAACCCTTTAAAAAATGTCATTCCCATGCCTTCATACCCAAATGGTTTTCAGTAAAACTGAGGAGGTCATGCTCTCAAGAAAAGGTAGTCTTCAACAAATTGTGATGGGAAAGCCAGAGATTCACATTTAGAGGAATAAAAGGAAACCCCAGCTCTCGTGGTACATGAAAATCCACTCAAATGGATTAAAGATATAAAACATGAAGGGACTAGAAGGGATCATACAGGAGATGCTTCATGACTAGGCACAGAGTTTATGGATAAGAACTCAAAACACAGAAAACAAAGGTGATAACTAGCCAACCATTTTTTTAAATCAAACTTAAGGGTTAAGAAAAGAAGCAATCAGCCAGCAAGTTAACAAATTAAATCATAGAATGGGAGTAGATACAGGAGATGTCACATCATCTCCCTACCACCACCACCACCACATGCATAAATAGTATATCTCAAAAGCCACCTTCCAAATAAAATCATGGATATATAAGAGAATCCACAACATTACTGACCATGATGTGTGATAATTAGCATCAATTGTCACCCTAGGAGAATCTAGAGCTACCTGGGAGGAGGATCTCTGTGCCTGTGGGAATTATCTTGACTGTGGTAGTCTAATTGAAATGGGAAGACCTGCCCACTCTGAGCAGTGCCATTCCCTGGCTAGGGCCTTGGATTGCATAGTAAAGAAATAGAGTCACTCTCTGCTCTCCTGTTTAGGACATGACCACCTGCTTTCAAGTTGCCTTGGCTTCCCTGATGTGATGGAACCAAGAAGAAGCCCTTTCTGCCTTAAGTTGCTTTGTCAGAGTATTTTCTTTTTTCACAGAAACACCAAAGAAATGAAGACATCAGGGAAATGCAAATAAAAACCACTTCCCTCCAGTCAGAAGGGCTATTGCCAAAAAGTCAAAAATAAATAATGCTAGCAAGGATGTGAAGAAAAGGGGTCCCTTGAAACTGTTAATAGCCATGTAAATTAGTGTAGCCATTGTCAGGAATGGTGTGCTAGTTTCATAAAGATAATAGCAAAAGCTAGAATTAGCATATGATCTAACAAACCCACTCCTGGGTATGTAACCAAAGGAATAGGAATCAGTATGTCAAGAGACATCAGCACCCCATGCTTATTATAGCACTGTCCACAGCAGCTAGGAAATGGAAACAGTTAGCTTAGTGTTAGCTGATAAGTAGATGAAGATGATTTGTAATGGCATAGAGTGGAATAATAGCCACCAAAGGAGGGGACCCTGTCACTTTTGCCAAAATGGGTGAAACCGGACACAGGAAAACCAGTCCCATGTGATCTTCCTCATGTGAGAGCCAAGAAAGTTGATCTCATAAAAGCTGAGAGTACAATGGTAGTTAGTAAAGACCGGGTAGGGCAGGGGGGATGGGAGGACAGAATAAAGTCAACTAGTAGACACCAAATTACAGATAGATTGGAGAAAGGCGTGCTGATGATTGCATTATATAATTTGTAATTGATTAATTATGTGCATATTTAAATACAAGAAGAAAGGATTCTGAGTGTTTTCAATTTAAAGGTGATAATTGTTTCAGTTTGTGTGTTACATTTACTCTTATTTGAACATTATGCAATTTATACATGTACCAAAATATTGCACAAGAGGCTTCAGTGGGGGTTCAGTGGGTAAAAGTATCTGTTTTATATATTGGAAAGCCTGAGGGTGTATCCTTAGAGCCATATAAAAAGTAACATTGGGGAATTGCTTTATAATCTAGGCGCTCCAATGGTGAGGTGGAAAGTGGAGACAGGAGAATCACACAGAAGGTCATCGGTAAGCTATCATAGAGTACACACTGCAGTGGCAGGAACAAGAGAAATGTTTCCTTAACAAGGTAAAAAGAGAGAACTAACTCTCAAAAACTGTCCTCTG